AGTCCTAGATTTGATCAACTGATCATTTACAATTAGAATTCGGGGTATCTTCTCTCTTATTGCATGGTCGGCTAACCCCATCCATTTTAGCTATTCTAACCACCTTCGAATCTGAAGCCTATTCTTCTTTATATAATTCTCTAGAATAATGGCGAAGGGGTATTTCATTAGTAGGTCGTCGCTAGAATCAACTTTCGTCCTAAAGGTTACTAACCCAAGCGATATGAATCGACTGCGACAAATATCTTTGTTCGCTTTTGAGCATTTTTTGATTCTAAGATGTCAAGAAGTTGTGAATGATTAAGATGGAAAATCATTGTGAATTCGTCGAAAATATGGAAATAAGAAACTAGTTCTTTTTGTATTCAGTGATCTAGGGATATTACGAATTGGTAATCAGAGATTAGATCTAAAATTATGGAAATCATAAAAATCAAAAGTTAATTCCCATAGAAGGCATCATTGTTTCGTTCGAGAACCCAAAATGGATACAGTTGAAAAACTAATGATCTTCAGCATGGCTTTAATCTCTTTTACGCTGGCATGTGGCAGATATTCATGGTTAACACTCCAACGCTTAAGTCAGTTCAATATTCAAGATGAGTATAGTGAAAATTCGATATCAGAGATTGTATCTTTTTCTTAGCGTCTAAACTGATTTTATACCTTGGGACAAGTTGAATGGATTTGAAATGGATTAGTCTTGGTCATTTGGACCTTTGGCCGTCCATAACCGTATGAAATTATATTCTTACAATCCCAAATGAAGAAAAAGTATGATTCAAATCCTCACACACATCATTCATTATTTTCTTATTGACTGACTTGTACGTCAGAGTCTTAATCTTGCAACTCAACCTCCTCTCCACCGCATCCAAAATAAAATCATACAGCAAAACATTGCCTTATCGTCTTACTGATCATCTATAATTTTGACCCAAACAAAAAAAATATCATTAAAGATGCTTTAGTTTTTTTTTTAATTTCTTTTTTAACTCGACTACATTTTTTTGATAGATTAATCTCTATATGTATACGTGTTGTGAATCTTGTTGTGAATTACGATAAAATTCAATATCAATTTGTGAAGCAAAGAACAATAGCAACCAAAATAAATGGTCTTCAGCAATAATAATCCATACACAGATAATATAACAGAATAAGGCAAGAAAGAACCGAAAGTTTGTTTATCCAGTTCGATCAAACGATCTACTCTCGGAGAGAAAGCAACTCTCCAATTCTCTATACTCAGAAAGTTGTTACAAGAGATTTCAGATGAGTTACAAGAAAATAACATTCGCCTCCAAGTTCCCGAGAACAACCCTATTTTCTACCCAAGTGTTTCTCAACCTCTTCAACTTTCATTATATGAATCACTCAAACCCAAGGTGTAACAGTGTTTCACAATAACCTTAACAATTCCAAAGGTTTACCTAAACCTTTGCTTTTCTAAGGTTTTCCTTGTGAATAGCTGAAACCCTATGTTATGCCTTTAAACCCTTGCTATCCCTTGTTGGTAAAAACTCTAATATCGTCACACACCAAGCATATAAAAGATACATATTTATAATAGCAATTATTCAACAAACAAAACCCAAAATCACATGGATCCCTGGACCGAATCAAAAAAAGCACAAAAACTCGAAAACACTATTCACCATGCAGACAACACTATTCACCGTACGGACGTCACTATTCATCCATATAAATAACACTATTCATCGACCGATTTTTTTCCTCGGATTTTCGTCCGACTTTCTAAAACTTCTGATTTTCGCGGTTAATGCAATCTCCAAAATATGTTTTCTTTCTCTTCATCGACAAAGGTTTTAAGGCACATTTACAATAATCTCCACCTTGACTTTAAACCGTGTTGATACCAATTTAACAATCAACAACATTGTTGTTCTCTACCAATTTGAAACTTTAATCAATAACTTTATTCAAGCAACCTTTGAATATTGATCTCGCAACTTGAATCCACTTGTTCTCAATTAACCTTTTTTGCCTAGGTAATTTAACAAGCCTACAAGTATGATTTTTCAACCACCTTTGACTTCACCTGTTTTTAAATGCATCCCTAAAGTTTTTCTTCTTTTATTTTGCAGTCCTTCGGCCACATTAAAAACATAATATCCAAGGCTAGCATAACCGTCCTTTTGAGATGCTACAATAACCCTCCTTACTTTATCATGAGTCAAATGATAATCAAAGATCTTTGTAACCGTTCCCTCACTACTGCTAGCATCCATAGTAAGAAACTCCACCTCAAACTGAGTTTTCTCCATTATAGTTTCTCCCAGGTTTCTCACTTGGTTTTCACTATTCTTCTTCTGAAGAAATTCTCTACCAACCAAGTAAGTTATTTTAACCTTAGCTCTTCCCAAAAAACTCAATAACAACTCAGCGGTAACATGCATTTTTATCCCTTGATTTCTGCAAAATTCATTGTACTCCTCTGAAACTTTCTCAAGGCATTCATAACGCCTTAAACTCAAATCTCATAGATCTTCCTTGTCATGAAAGCCTCCACTAGTTAATGATGAATGAATAATAACATTTGAATCTTCTAAAATATATAGACCACATATTTTAAACCCTTTAGCAATAATCAATTCATCATGAGAAATCTTCAACACTCCACGTTCAACTCTAGTACAATAGCCTAAATCATCAAACATACTTATAGATAACAAATTTCGCTTGAGTTCTGGAATATACCTCACACTGTGAATAAGAAATTCATGATCATTAAACATTTTAAATATGACCGTACCAATACTGCTAACCTTGCATGCCTTATTATTACCAAGGCGAACTACTCCACCTTTCACCATCTTCAAAGTTTCAAAATATTCTATTCTTTGACACATGTGATAAGAGCAGCCTGAGTCAATGACCCAACTATCTCCAGTTTCCAAGCTCGATACTACTAGTGCTTCAGCATCCTCATAACTTTCCTTACCCGATGACACTACAGCTTGAACATAATCTTCATTAACCTTTCTTTCAAGACAATCCCTTTTAAAGTGACTGATTTTCTGACAATTAAAACATTTTACCTTTGACTTGTCATACCTCTTTGATTTGGACATCCCATTACAATCACCTCCTCCTCTTGACACATTTAAGCCTTCACCACTATCTTCAATCTTCAAATCTTTTGAATTTGAAAATTATTTGGATTTCACCGCCGTCTGGACTTCATCCAAAGTAATATTACTTTTCTTACCATAAAGAAGGGCATCCTTAAAGTGCTCAAAGGATCTGGGTAATGAACTCAACAAGAGCAAAGCCTTGTCCTCATCCTCAATCTTCACTTCAATATTTTCAAGATCATCGATAATCTTGTGAAACTCTATGAGCTGCACAATTATGGATTTATTTTCCACCATTCGGAATGAATAGAGTTGTTGTTTCAGATACAACCTGTGAGCCAAAACTTTGTCATATACAATGATTCAAGTTTTGTCCACATAGCAACTGTAGTTTGCTCCCTGTCGACTTCTCTTAGAACTTTATCCCCGAGGTACAAGATAATGGCATTCCTGGCCTTATCCACCATCTCGGTCTTCTGTACATGTGTAAGCCCTGCATGCATCAATGCTTCACTCTTCAAAGTATCAATACACTTCTCTTGAATTAAAATTGTTTGCATCTTAATTTTCCACAACCCGAAGTTGTTGTTACTGGAAAATTTCTCAATCTACCATCTACTAACTATAGTGCTTACTTGTTAACAATATCTCTTTGCTCCACGCTCACCGCACCACTTGTTGTGAATTACGATAAAATTTAATATCAATTTGTGAGGCAAAGAACAATAGCAACCAAAATAAATGGCTTCAACAATAATAATCCGTACACAGATAATATAACAGAATAAGACAAGAAAAAACTGAAGGTTTATTTATCCAGTTCGATCAAACGATCTACTCTGGGAAAGAGAGTAGCTCTCCAATTCACTATACTCAGAAAGTGGTTACAAGAGATTACAGATGAGTTACAAGAAAATAGCCTCCGCCTTCAGATTCCCAAGAACAACCTTATTTTCTACCTAAGTGTTTCCCAACCTCTTCAACTCTCAATATATGAATCACTCAAACTCAAGGTGTAACAGTGTTTCACAATAACCTTAAACAACTCTAAAGGTTTACCTAAACTTTTGCTTTTCTAAGGTTTTCCTTGTGAATAGCTGAAATTCTATGTTATGCCTTTAAACCATTGTTCTCCCTTGTTGGTGTAAACTCTAAGATTGTCACACACCAAGCATATAACAAATACATATTTATAATAGCAAATACCCAACAAACAAAGCCCAAAATCACATGGATCCATGGACCGAATTGAAAAAAGGCCGAAAATTCGAAACGGATAATACTATTCACCGTACGAACGACACTATCCACCGACCGTTTTTTTCTCGACTTTTCGTCTGACTTTCTAAAACTTTTGATTTTCGCGATAAATACAATCTGCAAAATATATTTTTTTTTCTCTTCATCAACAAAAATTTTAAAACACATTTACAACAATACGGGTAAATATATATTTTCACTTGTCTAAGAAAAAAAGAGTTAATAAAAATAAACAATGAAATATAAAAGTTTTTAGATGGGATGAAATATATACAATATATTAAAATAAAAGTAGGAGGTGTATAAATAAGTAAGTGGAGGTGATTTGAGTAAGCACGAAACGACATCGTTTAAGTGATTGTTGGAAAGTGACAAGAGCAGCCGAAGCCGAATCAATAATATTCTTTTGATAGGATTATGAATAAATATTTGAAGAAGTTGAAGAAGAGTCAAATCCTAATGCTTACATGGCATCTCAATTAAACAAACAACCCCTCGTGGAATGCACCAACACCAGACGCTTGGCACTTGATTCAACCAACGTGTTCTAGTTTTCGGTGCCTCTCTTTTCAATCTAATGCCTCATTTCTATTATAAGTCACTGTAGTATTTCATATTTTGTTTCCTCAACTTTGCTTCAAAATGGATTGGTGGCATAAGCTTAGAAGAACTTTCACTCTTCTGTCCACCAGAATCAAGCTTCGTAAATCCGGTGGGTCCACTCTTCTCTTTCTTTTGATATTATTTTTTAACGAATCAAAGCGATAAAGACTGAATTTGATAATATCTTTTATAGAAACAAGGATGGTTGCTGGTTGTCGAGGTGGTGGTATGGTTAAATTCAGCGGTGGAGATATGGGCGGAGGAGCCGTTGGTGGGCTGTTGAATCTTCGAGATGAAGTAGAAATGTGCGGTTATAAAGATGTGGAGGTTATGTGGAACATGTTAAGCTTAAGCCTCACGCATGAGCCAATGAAAACCGCAAAAGGCACTAAACCAAAATTTCCAAGGCGTAGTAGTTGCAAGCAAAGATTAAATTCAAGGTTTTTGTTTTGGACTAACCATAACCCATAAAAATAGTAAATGCTCAAAGTTTTGTATATGTGAATAATATGTGAATGTTTTGTACATAATATGATAATGAGTCAATTTCACAGGTATAATGATCAGAAACCTCTTGTTTTTTTTAATCTCTGACTTTTATGATTTCTATTAATCTAGAGTTGGACAATACTATTAATCTAGAGTTCGGTTATGAGGTAACTAGAGACAATGTCGTGTTGTTTTATGTCAACTAAGTGATGATATGTATTTGATACATTTATCCATTTCACATTTTCTTTAGGATTAAAGATACTATACATTTGTCTCTATCTCTGTCCTTTTTCACATTGGATAATCCGAATAAGTTCTAGCCCTGCATGAAATATAACGCTGGGATCTTTAAATTGATTGATGTGTCAATTTTGATTCCTAACTTCATTGATGTGTCAAGTTTGATTCCTAACTTGAATCGTTTTCGAGAGTATTTAATTTTTTAAAAAGAAAATAATACATAATACATGAATTTAAGATAGGAAGTTAAATAACACGCCTAATGAAATAATAAGGTGAATATTACAAAATATTGTACACGAATATTGAAATTAGTGTTAAAGTTTAATTTTATATTTGTTGGAAAAAAAATATTTTGGTTAGTGTGATTAGAGTGTTAAGTTTAATTTATATTTGTTGAAAAAAAATTATTTTGATTAGTGTTGGAATTCAACCATGATGAATTCTTCTCAATCTTGATCTAAAGATTGTTATGTAATGACAATAAATAAAAACAAAAACACGTTTAAAGAAGATGAATATGAACTGCAGAGTAATTCTCTGTCCACAACTGTGAAATTTTATTATCACTTTGCGACTACAAAACCATGATTATCAAATTTGATAATTACAATGATAAGGGTTCATTCCTATTAATAGATTTAGTTTAACTTGCATCTCAATTGAAACACTGAATGTGGTTTTTGTCTGACTTTTGACAACCACCTCTTTGATTGCCTTGGTTCTAGAGTTTTCTCTGATTCGACCAGTTTACTTCATGCTGATTTCGACCAGTCGTATTGGTGTAGCCTCTTCTACCTTTGTTGCCATTCCATCTTCCTTTGTATTTCCTTTCTTTTTCTAACTGCGCCGGCAAAGTCATATCACTATTCGACTTTTCTACAGCTCTTCCACTCATCCTTTGTTCATGAGACTCAAGCGTCCCTTAAAGCTCTTCCTTCGTCAATACTCAAGACTTCTCCACATACCTTGATTTGATTCATTAGTTTAGTAACCCTAGTAAAAAAATCATATATACCTTCACTTTCTTCCATCTGAAGCAATTCATAGGTTCTCTTGTGAGTTTGTAACCTCACCTCCTTCACATTCTCTGCGCCTCCAAACAATTTTTCAAGAACCTTCCACGCTTCTTTTGCTGATTCTACATCACTAACCTTTTCAAAGTTATTGGGATCAACACATTGATATATTATAAAGAAAACTTTATAATCTTTCTTCTTCAATTCTTTATATGCTACTTTCTCTTGATCCTTCGCAGTTTCTGCAAGCGGCGATAATCCCTCCTTCACAAGATCCCAAAGATCTTAGTAACAGAAAACCAATTTAATATGCTTGCACCAATTCTCATAATTATCTTTCTTGAGAATTGAAAGATTTGCTGGAAATTGACTGTTCGGGTGATTCATCGCCACACAATTTTCTTCCTTGAATCGCAACCAGGCTCTGATACTAGATGTTGGAATTCAACCACGATCTATGGTGAATTATTCTCAATCTTGATATCAAGATTGTTATGTAATAACAATGAACAAAAACAATAATACATTTAAAGAAGATGAGTATGAACTGTAAAGTAACTCTCTGCCCACAACTGTGGAATTTTATTATCATTTTGCAACTGCAAAACCGTTATTATCAAACTTAATGGTTATAATGATGAAGGTTCCTCCCTCCTTATAAATTTAGCTTAACTTGCATCTCAAGCTAAAACCCAAACTATAAAAGCCCAAAAATATCTAATCTAATCTTTCTAAATCAAATACGACCTTTCTAAATCAAATCTAATCTTTCTAAAACAATGAATTATATAATTAACAGTTATTCTGTTTAGAGTGTTAAGTTTAATTTTATATTTGTTGAAAAAAAAATTATTTTGGTTGGTCTGTTTAGATGTTTGAATCACGATACATAAATGTTGTAAAATCAGTAATGAAAGACTGAGAGATATAAACTTGACTTAGTTTTTCTCTAGTTCACCTTATATGACATTTTTATTAATGTATTAATGTGTTTATTTCTTGTGTTTACTCATTCTCTAAAATATTTAATAATAAGTATTTAGAGATTACACTTTTATCCACTCTGACATACCACTTTAGAATATTTAATCATAAGTACTTAGAGATTACACTTTTATCCACTTTGACATATCATTTCAGACTGTTAAACTTGAATATTTTCTTTTTGATTAGATGTCTTTGTTAAGAATTATTGGACGTTCTATATTAACTCCTCTTTGATAGTTGTCACAAAGAACTCTTAAAAAGAGCTATCAACATTTAAGAATCATTTAACTTATGGAGTTATCATCTTTAAAATTGTCTTATAGTTATCATTAGTAGTCACCATCAAAATCAATTGACAACCAATTGATAGTTATGCCTGCACAATACAATATATAACCGCCAAGGATAATGCTTTTCTAATGCTACTAAAGCTCTTAACCAAGCACAGAAAACTCTAGAGAAAAATGAGAAAAATGAGGGTTTTTTTGTTGTTGTAAATTGTCCATGAAACTTTGGATGTTGAGAATGAGACCTGTAAATGGTGCACATAAAGGCATAACTTAACCAAATTATGAATGTTATATTCACTTGTATCCACGAGTCATTTAAAGCGCCCTTCTTCATGTTGAACTCCTTCACCATCTCTAGGAAAAGTTTAATCTAGAATAAAAGGTTGTAGATGGGGAAATTGTTTCATACGAAGATAAACTCGTAGCTTGATTTCCTATTTTTCTTATCTTTCATATGTAATGTGTTGGAATGAATCCAAAATCTTTTGAGAATTCTTAATCAATGTTGATCTTAAGAAAGATTACACGCAATAATTTTAATGAAAGAAGAAAGAAAGAAGATTAAACAAGATGATTAGGGAAAGACGAAAATAAGAGAAGAGAATTTTCTGCAGAACTTCTCTCTACTTCCAAACTGGAAATTTCTTATTCACTTTGCAACTGCAAAAACTGTGAATACAAGTTATTACAAAATAGGGGTTACTCCCACTATTTATAGTTGAGAAAACCCATAAACACAAAAGCCCAAAAATTACTATTTTGGTTTAAGTCGAAATTTTGTGTCAAGCAATCTGCTTCGACACTTCGATACTTCGACACCTAAACAACTCGACACACACACACACATACACTCATTAGGCTAATTCAACTCATCCTTGTTTCTGTCAAGCTACACTGCTTCGACACAAGGAATTACAATTTCAACACACCACCTAATTCATTGTGTCTAAGCTATCTATATTCATCATACCTTCTTTAACACTTCGACTCGCTCTCCTTTCGTCATGATATCTGCAATCTGATTTTCAGTTTTGTAGTGTTTCAAATTCATCTTCCATTCTGCTACATGCTCTCAAAGATAATGGGACCTCATTTTGATGTGCTTGCTTCGTCCATATGCTATTGGACTTTTTTCCAGATTGATAACTGACATGTTGTCGATCTTCATGGTAATTGCTCCACGACTCTTCATTGTAATCTCTCTGACCAGGTTCACCATCCAATTTGCTTGAAATACATAGAGAGAAGCAGCTACGTATTTTGCTTTACATGACGGCAATGCCACTACTGGCTCCTTTCTCGAACTCCAAGCAACTGGTGCACCACCTAGCATAAGCACATAGCCATTTGTGAATATTCTATCCTTAATATCACTACACCAACTTGATTTGGTATATCCCAATAACTTGCATTCTTTTCCTTCATCAACCGCAGGAAATAAAACATCATAGTCGAGACCTCCTTTCAGATGCTTTAGTATCCTCTCTGTCGTTGCTAGGTGTGATACCTTTGGCCTTTGCATGAATATACTTACCATACCCACACTGTATGCTAAGTCAGGCCTTGCATGATAAAGGTATCGAAGTGAGCCAATAAGTCTTCTATATTGGGTTGGGCAAACATCGTCTTCATCTGAATCTTTCGACAGTTGCAATCTGGGCTCAGCTGGAGTCGAAGAAGTTAGGTTACAATCTTGCACCTCAAATTTCTTGAGTATTTTTCCTGTATATCTTCTTTGGTGCATCATCAAACCTCTAACACTTTTGTAGAATTCAATGCCTAGGAAATATGAGAGATTTCCCAAGTCTGAAATTTCAAACTTCTCACTTAGGTCATGTTTGAAATCTTCGATCTCCTTCTTGCAACTTCCTGTTATCAACAGGTCATCGACATAGAGACGTAGTATAAGCAATTCACTATTTCTTCTCCCTACATATACTTCATGCTTCTTTCCTTGATTCTACATCACTAACCTTTTCAAAGTTATCTGGATTAACACATTGGTGGATTATAAAGAGAGATTTATAATCTTTCTTCTTCAATTCTTTGTATGCAGTATTCTCTTGATCTGTCGCATTTTCTGCAAGTGGTAATACTCCTCCCTTCATAAGATCCCAAAGATCTTGATAACAGAAAACCACCTTTATCTGCTTGCACCAATTCTCATAATTATTGTTCTTGAGAATTGGAAGGTTCGTCGGAAAATTCTCGTTCGGATGATTCAACGCCATTGTGGTTTTCTTTCCACAAATCGCAATCGAAGCTCTAGATATCAAATGTTGGAATTAACCCAAAGCCTTTTGAAAATTCCTAATCAATCTTGATCTCAAGAAATATTACACGCAATAGTTTTAATGAAAGAAGAAAGAAATAAGATTAAACAAGATGATTAGGGAAAGACGAAAATAAGAGAAGAGAATTTTCTGAAGAGCTTCTCTCTGCT